AACAAGGAACTGATGCTGATGGACACGGTGCAAAGTTCTCAGAGTTGTTGCGGGGAGGAAACCGCTTGTTTCCAGTTAAAATGTATCAACCCATTGTCCAATCCCAGTTGGTATTCTCTCCAAGGCAGATCCTCCAAAGACTGCCTGTTCAAAGACAGTATTTGTGGATCTTATCCTAGTTTCCTTCTGTAGGCAAAATTCCCATGGCAATCAGTGGGTATTGGGAAAGAAACTATAAGGAAGGAGCCCTGTGTATTAAGTAAGACAACATCGGTGTGTACGTTTTGGGTACTCACACACACAAACACATACATCCACACACGCGCACGCACGCACGCACGCACACTCAAGTGTACATAAAGTATGCACCTATGCATGTAGGTGTCCATATTTGTGCGTAAATACAAGTGCGGGCTCCATGCATAAATGCAATACAAGCACGCAAGAGAAAGGATTTCCTATATGTATGTGCATATGTTTAAGTGCGTGAGTGGATGTGTCCACACACATCTAATCTCTCTCCCGTTGCTTAGCATTTTTAAGCCTATGTCGCGTTATTTGCAAACCCCAAAGGAAAATCATCAAAAATCTCCAACTCTCCCTTTTTCCCAGTTCCTAGCTTGAATGAAAAGGCAGAAAGCGATTTGTGCCTTGTCAGGAGCTGATCTGTTCATTTTGATTCTGAGAAGAGGTTTAAAAAAGAAGCGGGGGAAAAGTTACTGAAGAGTATCCCCCTCATACATCCCCCCGCCCCCCATACCCTTCTGTTGGCCGGAGAGGAAGGCTGGCTAATGGAAATCTGTACATTTCAATCGACTGGAAGAAAACATTATAAGCGGCGCCATGTGTGAAGAGGGATTGATTTTTATTTTAAATGAAGCAGCTTCAAAAGGCTGCAAAGTTAAGGTTAAATCTGCCAAGTAAATGTCAGTCTGCAAAACGGGAGGACCCATCCTCAAGAAAAAAAGAAACCTCCTCGCGCTGTTCCTCTTAGGTTGCTCTGAGGTGGATCCCAGTAAGAAGGAATTAAAAGGCGCTCTAGGAAAACGAGCGATTGTCTATTATCGATCCGTGGCGGGAGCTGGGAGGACGTTTGGCGAGTGCTGGAAAGCTGCACTTTCCATGATGGGTAGATTTGAGGGGGGTGGGGGGGTGCCCTATGGATTCATGCTTGTTCATAGGCCCTGATTCCAATAAGAAAATATTAGTTCACCCCTTGTTTATTTGCGATGCTCCGGATGGAGCTGGAGTGCAGCCGCCTGCATCCTGGGTTACTTCAGTGCAGAGAGCATCTGGGAAGCTCTCGCCCCACTGAGGCTCCCCAGATGAGCACTGGATATAGTCCTCCTATATATATATAAACACACACACATTCATACACAGAGATACTGTATATGCAAAGTATATATGCACATACATGCATATATACATATGTATATATAATACCCTCAAAACATGTCACAACCACAAGAATAAGCCATGCCACTTGCTCCAAATGGGAGGATCCGAAAGACAGAGCTTCAGCGAGACAGTAGCCAGGAGCTCATGGGGTCACTCACCATCCTTGCAGTCCACAGATCCTGGAGTCACTTCTTGCTGCTCCCGTAAGGCGTGGAGGGGGTCCTGGATAGTCTCCCTCTGGATGCCCCTCGGCGCTCGCCCTCTCTAGTTGAGGAGACAACAGCTGCTAATCTTTTTTTTTTTTAATTGGGGGGGGGGGTGGAATATCTTTGTGGGATGAAAAGCAGAATCACTCCAGGTTAATAGAATTATTTTTATGTTAAGGGGTCTGGCTATTGATCTGCAGCAGGTTATTGGGGCTGGAAAGGAGATGCGATTTTTCGTGTTTTTCATTTGGCAAGTAGTCGCCTCTATTTACTTTTCTTTACCCCTAGCAAATAATTGGCTCCCGAAGCACAGTCGGATCTGTGGAAATAGCCAGGTTATCATTTACTAAATATAGCTCAGCATGCTGGCTTTCCGAGGCGCCTGAGCATTCATTTGACAAGTTTACTGCTCATAATAATAGCACATTTAATACACACACACACACACACACACATATATATATATATATATATATATGTATCTCAAGCTGCACACTGCCAATACCACCGGATTAACTGGCCTGATCTTGGTGAACCAAGGACTTGGCTAATCACTCCCCGCTTCCATTCCAAGAAAGAATTGAACTTCGCTTGAATTTCCAGTTCTCCCCCTTTTAGCTATATTTAGTACATGCTTGTTTGGTTATATTTCCGGCACCCCCACGACCCCCAGCCTTTTGCATTGCACTCGGTGGTTTCTTTGCACGGGGAGAATCTAACTGGTAGGGCTTTAAAGAAGAAGAATACAAATTAACCTTCCATTACTGCTGCAGTCAACCATGAGAGAATGGGCCAGTTGCGTGTGTGGTGACGTCTCTGAGTCTTATAGGTGCAAGGGCTGGTGAGATAGCAGCTATCGCCTTGAACTCTCTTTATTTTATTGGAGTATGGCTGGTAATAAACAGTAATATTTAATTTGTCTGAGACCACAAATCGGCTTCTAGCTGAAAGGCTCCTTCGCCTGGCTATCCACAGAGTCCTATAGTGCCTGGACTGGAGATCCTTCCTCCAGTATTTTTTTCCCTGCAACCTGCAGAAGGAAATAATTTCCATTTATTTGCGTCGTTTTCAACTCGTCTTCCAGATTTTCGCCAGCTACTTTGAAACCCAAGAGGTGAGTGTTTCTATTGCCATTAGCAGAGTTTAGGAGCAGAGCATGCCACCCCACACTGTTGATTGCAGCTCCGAATAGATCCCTTCAGCCGCGCATTTCTTTCCGAAGGGGAGTGGGTTTGTTATTTCTCTGTCTCCTGGAAACTCGTCTCCGGGTGCAATTTTTTTTTCTGTCGGTGTTTTCAAATTTCCAATAGCATTTCTGAGCCTATTTCTGAAGGCGCGTGTAATTCTGGGGATTTTGAGCAGAAGCTAATGCTTAAGAACAGGGCATGAAACTTGGCGAATTCTCTCCAAATGATTTAGCTTGGAATTCTCACTACTGAGGACGGCTCTGTTGGAGGCTGCAGAGGAGGAACCTCATTCTCTGCAGCCCACCTCTGACAATTTGAATTGATGATTTTTGCACCTTAAATAGCACTTGTGTTCATAGTAAGGCCAGAGATGCGGGTTGGTTTATCCTGGCATTTACAGTATGCGTGGGACACGCACTTCACCCCCACCCCCCTTCCCCGCAGCGATCTACAGAAAATCAAATAATGAAAAGGAGACGATATATAAATAATACATATAATACCCGTGTCTATTTGAATGTCTTGTTTGTGACTGAGGGTGCAGCGGGGCGGGTTGTTTTTGCAGCAGTTGCTTCGCCGTTTCTTTTCAAGTTGCTGTGAGGCTGGAGTGCCCGGAGTTGGAAGTAGAAGGCTCCCACCCTCCACCCCTCCATATGCAAACACAGGCTCCCGCTCGCAAACATTTTGCATCACGTTTGGCTAGTACCACTTCGCCTCCAAATTCCCTGGGAATCCGCAGCGATCACTCCAGGGGCTGCAGCCGCTGCATTGGGATAGTTGCTGACGGGACTCTTGGTTGGTTTTTTTTTTTAAGCTTCAGGGAAATCTCAGTCGTGAAAGAAAGTAAAGAGAGAAAGGAGAAGAGAAAGAGGGGCTGGGCAAGGCAGATCTAAGCCATGCCATGTATTCCCAAGTCTTATCAAAAATACAACCCCCCAATCTGGTTCTCTTCAGCCAGAATGCGACAGGGCGGCTGCTTGCCCTGCAGTGACCTATTCAACTTTACCCTCAAAATAATACATTAAAAAGAGAGAGAGAGGGAGCGAGAGAGAGAAGGAAGATGCAGATAAAACCACATCCCCGCTCCTCACTGACGGCTTGATTATTTGAATACAGCAGAGCCTCTGAGCTTTTGTATATGTTTGCGCCCTGCCAGGGGAAGGGTTCGCAAATTCCTGGCAAAGGTGGCGGTGGCAGGGAGTTGGGGAGAAGAGAAGGGAGGGGGGATCTATTTTTCTTAAAGACCTTTGATCTTCCTGCAGATCCAAGACAAAAATGCCAGGCTCCATCTTCGCGGTGTTGTATCCCCAGCTGGGTTGAAGGAGGCTGGGGAAGGAAGCTTGCAAGGCTCCTTAGCTCCGGGGATCCCTTTCATCCAATCCAGCTCCCCCCCGCTCTCCCCTGTATGTCAAAGGCCCCCAAGAGAACTAGCAGATCCGCACATGTGTAGTTGGGGCTGAAAATGCCTACCTTTCTGTTCTGGGCAGGGGTGCGCATGGGGGAGGGGGCTGTATGGAGCGGGTCGCTGTATGGTTTGTGTTAGGGAAGCCAGCGGCTTCTTCGGGGGATTCTCAAGCTTTGACTTTTCTCTCTGGCTGGGAAAGATGGATGGAAGACGGAGGGAGTGGGAAAGGAGGGAGGAGGCGGAGGGGGGGGGTGCTGGTTAGTTTGATGATCGTCTTTGTGCCTTGTTCTAGTTTGCCTGCCAGAAAAAATAGGAGATGGGGGGGCGGGGGGGGGGCGGGGAAGGAGGTCTGTTCTGAGAGAGGAGCAGGATCGGAGCTGGTTGGACAGACGAGCTCAGCACTTCGCGAGCAAGGCTGAGCCGCCCCACGTCACGGCCCCCGCGCGGCGCTCCGGGCTCCGCCGCTCTTTCCTATGTGCAGCGCGC